CATCAATGTTTCCCTCTCCTCTCTCTCCTCCTTCTCCCTCCCTTCTACTCTAATGAGGGCACGTACCAGGGTTGCAGGTCTGATCCCTACCCCAGGTCGGGGTGCATCGGGGTACGTGTGGGAGGCAACAATCAAAATGTCTCTCTCTCATCAATATTTCCCACTCTTCTCTCTCTCCTCCTTCTCCCTCCCTTCTACTCTCTCTTAAAAAAGGGGGGGGGGGGAAATATACTCACTCCAGAAACGACAACATTAAAAAACTTTAATGATCTGAAAAAAAATCAATAAAATATATTTTTTTTAAAAAAATGGGAAAAATATACTCACTCCAAAAACGACAACATTAAAAAACTTTAATGATCTGAACCAACAGGAGAACTTAGCAGGAAACGTTGAAGAATCATATAATTTATCAAAGTACATTTAGGAACTTGAATTGGGGGGAGGGGGGGGAGCCGAGCTTAGATGATCATGAATGAAGACAGTTATTTAACAAACGTTCCTTGAGACTCTGCTATGTGACAGGTTTTGTTCGAGATGCTGAATAGACACGTATGCGTAACAATGAGGAGAAGGACACGTGCGAAGCCCTTCCACGGACCAGGCCCTGAGTAAGTGCTCTAGGTATGTGGGCTCATTTAATCCACCCACCACAACCCTGTGAGCTACTATTATTTCCTCCACTTTACAAATGCAGAGACGAAGCTTCCGGTCAGCATGGCTCCGTGGTGGAGCACTGACCTATGGACCAGGAGGTCACGGTTCGATTCCCAATCAGGTCACATGCCCAGGTTGTGGGCTCGATCCCCAGTGTGGGGCATGCAGGAGGCAGCCGATTAATGACTCTCTCTCATCGTGGATGTTTCTATCTCTCCCTCCCTCGTCCTTCTTCTCTGAAATCAATAAAAAAATATTTTTAAAAATAGAGAAAAAGTGAGCCTGGGGTGTTGAAGGATCACCATGGAGGTCATGGGCAAGACTAGGTAGGAGCTACTGCAAAAAAACAGGCAAGAGATCATGGTGGCCTGGGCCAGAGCGACGAGAACTGGTCCATTTCTGGAGAAGTCATGACGTAGAGCCAACATTTGCTGATGGTCGGTTATAAGAGTGCAGGGCAAGCGTATCAAACTCAAAGGCCAGCACAGGCCAAAGGAACGAGGCATGCGGCCTGTGGGCCGTGAGTTTGACATGCTTGGTGTAAGGGGAGAGGGGCAAAGAAAACCCTAGAACTTGTGACCAGGCGAGCACCTGGAAGGATGGAGTCCATTATGTTTCTTTTTCACTTTCTTCCCCAAGCTCCCCTCCCTAGGTCCTCGCCCACAAACCCACTGGGATTTCTGTCACTGTGCACAGCCTCCTCACTCGGTGGAAGAAGTTTGGAAAGCACTGGTATTAAAAAAACAAAACAAAACAAACACACATTTAAAGCTGCGAAAAAGTGAGCCTGGGGTGTTGAAGGATCACTATGGAGGTCATGGGCAAGACTAGGTGAGAGCTACTACAAAAAAACAGGCAAGAGATCATGGTGGCCTGGCCAGAGCGACGAGAACTGGTCCATTTCTGGAGAAGTCATGACGTAGAGCCAACATTTGCTGATGGTCCGGTTACAGAGTGCAGGACAACCGTATCAAACTCAAAGGCCAGCACAGGCCAATCGAACGAGGCATGCAGCCCGTGGGCCGTGAGTTTGACATGCTTGGTGTAAGGGGAGAGGGGCAAAGAAAACCCTAGAACTTGTGACCAGGCGAGCACCTGAAAGGATGGAGTCCATTACATTTCTTTTTCACTTTCTTCCCCAAGATCCCCTCCCTAGGTCCTCGCCCACAAACTCACTGGGATTTCTGTCACTGTGCACAGCCTCCTCACTCGGTGGAAGAAGTTTGGAAAGCACTGGTATTAAAAAAACAAAACAAAAAAACACACACATTTAAAGCTGCTTGTCTGAAATCGGCATGTGCCACGCCGTTCTGTGACCTGGCAACCTTGAAACGATGATGGTGGGTTTTATACTCTTTTTTTCAGGGATCCATTAAGACGCCTTTCAGAAGAGGGAAACTCCGTATATTTTAACTATACTGGACACACTCTGAATATTTTAAGCATACTGAGATTATGTTTAGTGTAATTCTGGCATGTAGACCAGTTGGCTGGATGCTAAGGAACACACACTTTCTTAGAGAAAAGCAGCGTTCCTGGCTTGTAATTTAGGGCATAAATAAACACATGCTTGATCAGCTATGTGTGCTTTTGTCAATATATCAATGTGATTATTATTTTTTTAAATATATTTTTATTGACTTTTTACAGAGAGGAAGAGAGAGGGATAGAGAGTTAGAAACATCGATGAGAGAGAAACATCAATCAGCTGCCTCTTGCATGCCCTTACTGGGAATCGAGCCTGCAACCAAGGTACATGCCCTCAACCCAAATCGAACCCAGGACCTTTTAGTCCACGGCCCCGACGATCTATCCACTGAGCCAAACCAGTCAGGGCTCAATGCATTCATTCAGGGGTAGGGAGCGTCCGGCCCTCGGACCATACACGGCCGACGAAATCATTTGGTCTGGCCTTGCCAAGGCATTAGGGGTGAGTTAATTAAATGTTTGACCAAATACAGCAGGCTAATTCTTAAGTTGATAATGGTGTATGGCCTGCAAAGGATGTTATAAATATCCAAATGGCCCTGGGCAGAAAAAAAGGTTCCCCACCCCTGATTAAGTCATCAGTTCAAACTTTCACATGCATTTCACTTCTTCTGATTTCACTTCTTAGTTCAAAAAGAGGACGGATTAAATAGAGTGAAAACATATGAGCAGGGACTGCTAGCCTCACAGTGAGCCGGCGTTCAATGAGAACAGGGCACTCTAATTTTATCTGAAACACGGGCCTGTTCCTTCCGTATTAAAATAACTGTGGTATTTGAGTTCAGAGCCAATAGTCTGGTCTCAGGACAAAAATATGCCTTTCTTTGGCATTGACAGATCATGAAGCATCCATCTTAACCGCTTCAACACAGAAAACAGCTTTCTCTCTCGTCCGTAAACAGCCTGCATTGCCTTCAATTAGGCAAATTAACTTAGATTTCTATCCCAAACGGTATCTAGTACCATATACTCATTTTATCAGAGAAATGATCAGTTCTGACTGTGGATTGCTTCCTTTTGCATTGGCGAGTGCAGCAAAGTGCACATTTAAAATATGATAAGGGAGCCCTGGCTGGTGTGGTTCAGGGGGCTGGAGCCTCGTCCTGTATACCCGAAAGTGGCAGAGGTTCGATTCCCAGTCAGGGCACACGCCTGGGTTGTGTGTTCAGTCCCTGGTCAGGGCATGGAGGGAGGCAACTGATTGATGTCTCTCTCTCTCTCAAAATCAATAAACATATCCTCGGGTGAGGATAAGGAATTAATTTAAATATGATCAAAGAAGAAACTCTCACGTAACTACCTCTAAACAGACGCCTCCTGACATCCAGGCTGCTTTCTCCACTGGGCTGCCGACCTGCCTGCCTAGCAGCTCCTCGACTCCACGAATGCCAAACGGGACGCACCTTCTGCCTCGCGCGGCCCCTATTCCTGAGCTCCGTGCACATCTATCAATAACACCTTCACCCGCCTGGTCCGCCAGGTGAAGCACGTGAGTCACCCTGGACCCTTCTCTCTCCTCCGCTTCCTACATCCAATCCGCTGCCAGGTGCTGCCCACGGAACAGCTTCGCAACTATCTTCCCTGCACCTCCTCTCCCCGCTCTCCGCTCTGCCAGACTTCCCTTCCTAAAGCTCAGACTTATGTTATTAATTGTCCAAAAGCTTTACACGTTTCCTCCCGTTTCCTATGGAACAGCCCAGACGCCTTAGAATAATAGCACCCAAGGCTTTCCATACTTTGGCTCTGGCTTCCCCACTACCCCTTGTTGTGATGACACCCAGGCCTTCATTTATGGAGGTGATGAGTGGTCATCCCTGGAAGCTTGACTGCTCATCGTTGCCCAGAGGAGACCATGGCCCAGAACCCTTCGAGTGGTTTCTCGGGGAGGGAGTGGACGAGGCAGAGTAGGCAAGTGGGAGCAGGCCAAGGATTGCAGGGTTTAAATAGTGTCGGTGGACTCTGGGCGGTAAAGGTGGTCTCCTATTGTCCAGTACGTGACCTTGGGACCTTGATTTAGGGCAAGGGGACCAGTGTGAGACTTGGATAAAGGAAGTGGTGGGGGCTATGGGCTTTGGATCGGTGGGTGTGAATATGAAAGGCGTATTCGCAGGCAAGGTGCTTGTTACTCTACGAATTAGCTCATCCCGGGAGGGACAGTCCATCCTTAAGGCCCCACGGCTCCGAGATGTCAGAGTATACAAAACAGAAAAAAATGTAAAGACATTAATACACACCTCCCTGCCCAGGAACCCTTTGCCCACAGTTCTGGTAGCCCCAGAAAAATGCCCTTTCGTAGGAAAAAAGTTCAGCAGCGCATCGCTCAGCATGCTGCCACCACCCACAGCCCCTTCCCCGCCCCCACCAGGCCAGGGATGGTACTGCCAGGTCCCCAGCCTACAGGCTGGCAAACTATGACCCCTGCGGTCTGCCTCACAACGAGGAGCTGAACCAACCAGGTTTCCTCCGTTAAGGGTTTGCATTAAGAGCCACACAGGAGGCTGCCCGTTTCCTTCACGCAGCCAGATCCACAGAGATGCCGTGACAAACCGGTCGGTAGGTCTGCTCGGGCCAGGCCTGGGATGGGGGCTCCAGGCCGCCTTTCTTTAAGCCCCCACACGTGTAAGGTGTTTCTCATTTCATATACGCACTTACAGGACCACATAAACGCAACCTAGTGCAACTGCATCCTGCAGCTTTAACAGGCATTCCCAGCTTCTGCTAATGATGGGCTACACGCGGCGAGAAAACTTCCAGGGAACCCTCGCCCAGCGCCCCGGCCCTGCCCCGCCCCGGACTAGACCTTATCGATTGCTCCTGCCTGGCCCGCCCCGCACTAGACCTTATCGATTGCTCCTGCCTAGGCCGGCCCGCCCGATCAACTGCTCCTGCCTGGCCCGCCCCGAACGCGGGAGAAGAGTGCGCGGGAAGACAGTTTCCACCCGGCTCGGCGGCCGTAGCGACCCATTCAACCCCCACAATCCTGACCGGCCTCCGCTTTTGCACCCCTGACTCCCTGAGGTCTCCCGAATCTCACAAGAGGAAGCAAAGCAGCTCACGCCGCCGCCATGTCCGAGGCTTATTTCCGGGTGGAGTCGGGTGCGCTGAGCCATGAGGAGAACTTTCTTTCCTTGGACGACATCTTGATGTCCCACGAGAAGCTCCCGGTGCGCACAGAAATTCCCATTCCACGCCTCGGCGCTTTCTTCCCGGAGCGGAGCGGAGGGGCCGACACCGACAACACCATCCCTCAGGTAAGCCCCCGGGCTCGGCCCTGCGCGGAAAGACTACAATTCCCAGTGTGCCTTGCGACCCTGGGGCTACGCGTACCTGTGGGCGCGCTGTCCTCTGGGATTTGTAGTTTTAGGGGCAGACGGGGGTCATCTCGCCAAGCAGTTTATCCGCGGGTCGCGGTGCACTGCGGTGGTCTCCTCACCTAGCTGGGGCCACTTGTACAGAAACTAAATTTATCCCAGGTCGTCAGGCTCCCTCCTCCAACACGGATTTCATTTTTGAAACTACAAATTCAGCAGTGTTTTTCCCCTTCCCTCTCTCCCTTACCAACATGCCTTAGGTTTGGCTCCTACGGAAAACTACAGCGTTGGGTTCTGTGAGAGCGTGTAATGCGGCTGGGACCCACAAATTGCTAGATTCATCCCTGCATCATGATGATGGTGTCAGCAACCACTGACTGGGTGCTTTGGTGCCAACATGGATGGGGTGGGGAGAGTGTACTTTTCTTTTTTTTTTTTAAACTTTATTGATTTTTTTTTTTCAGAGAGGAAGGGAGAGGGATAGAGAGTTAGAAACATCGATGAGAGAGAAACATCGATCAGCTGCCTCCTGCACATCTCCCACTGGGGATGTGCCCACAACCCAGGTGTATGCCCTTGACCGGAATCGAACCCGGGACCCTTCAGTCCGCAGGCCAACGCTCTATCCACTGAGCCAAACCGGTTTCGGCTGTACTTTTCCATTTATTAGCGCCTTCATTCTTCAACAACCTTGTAACTAGGCATTGTTACATACAAGGAAACTGAAGCCCAGAGACGTTTGGTAGCTTGGCCAGGGCCCTGCTGTAGGCGGTGAGCTGGGATTCGAACCTGGGGCTATCTGACTTCATATACAGTGTGTCCCAAAGAGAACAGGCAATATTGCTCATGCAGTGCACATTTTCCTTTTTGCCACACACACCTTGACTTTGTCATTGTTCTTCAATCCTGTCTGACGCAGGGCTCAAAGCTGGAACTCCCCTTGTGGCTGGCAAAAGGACTTTTTGACAACAAGCGGCGGATCCTCTCTGTGGACCTTCCCAAGATCTACCGAGAGGGTTGGAGGACTGTGTTCAGCGCAGATGCCAACGTGGTGGACCTCCACAAAATGGGGCCCCATTTCTACGGGTTTGGCTCCCAGCTCCTGCATTTTGACAGCCCAGAGAATACAGACATTTCCCAGTCTCTCCTCCAGGCAAGTAATTGATCTGGAAACCTCTGGCACCGCACATGCCTCAGGAGCCAGCTTTGGCTGCCACCAGACATCACTCTTACCCAGGGAAACTTATGACATACACAATTAGTGTGTTATTATTCTAGGCCAGACAACAGTTAGACTGCATTTGCCAACTACACACACACACACACACACACACACTTAAATAGGACTTGTCTACTGTTATTCATTTTTGCTTGCTAAGAGTTGGGAGCAGCAGAAAGTCCTGGAAAGAAGAGGTGATGGTTGATTGCAGGCGTCAGGCACTTAAATACACAGCCCCAGCCCAGCCCAGGACCGGTCTGAGGGTTCCTGTCGGAAATACACCTGGTATTTGGTTATTTGTTCCCTTTCCTTGCTCTGGGGTTAAGACCTGGCTTTGCTACGTACGTGACCTGGCCAAGCTACTTGACCTCTTTAGGCATCAACTCTTGACCTGTAAAAGGAGATAATAATAGTGCCAAAACTATAGAATCATAGTGAGCGTATGTGGAGCCATTTAATATATGGTAACTATTACCACTGTCCATGGACAAAACAGTGTTATGTATATAACATCCTTTATGCTGGAATAACCTTACTTTAACTTTCGTAATGACTTTTCATTCTGTTAAAACTAGAAGAAATCATCCTTTCTACCTGTTGTTTTACTTCCTCATTTCTCACTTAATAAGAACACACTTGTCACCTGGGCTGTGCTGACACCCTGTATCGGGCGTCGGGGTTGTTCGGCCTGACACTTACCAGTGCTGTTTCTTATGTGATAGTTAAAAAGAAAACAAAAAGCCATTGCCATCCACTCAGAAAAAGAAGCCAATGCGCAGACTGTAGACAGTTTGAGCTTATGAAGCTCTTCTAAGCAGACATCATTTGTCTGATAACGTTGCCAGGACGTGTTCTTGAATGGGAATGCTGCCTTTCTTAAGTGAGTTACCTGTTGTCTTTCTCCGTCTCTGCTCTGAAGTGCTGTAGACTGGAGTTGCTCAGAGAGAAGGTGAGATTGCCGGGAGACAGTTGCAGAACGGAAGTGGGGCTTGTGGCTTGGGCTCAGAGCCCGGAACTGACACCGGTAGAGCTGTATGACTCTCTCTCTCTCTCTCTCTGAAAATAGAAACTGCATTCAATTAAATCAGGGACCTTGTCTGGTTGAAACCTGTCTGCATGTGACCACAGTACATTATCGCGGCCTTTGTTCCTATAACAATAATGGGGAATGCTTTTCGAGGAGCTTACTCTTGCTAGCCACTTGCTAGATGCTCTGTGGGGATTACTTTGTTGGATTTCACAACAATCCATTTCACAGGCAAGGAAATTGAGGCTTGGCAGTGTGAAATAACTTACTCAGACCTCCTTCTGACTGAGTCCTGAGACCAGATTCTCCCCTTTTGTGCCATTTAAATGTTTGAGGATAAAACTGGATCTGGCTTGGCCAGCATGGCTCAGTGACCTATGAACCAGGAGGTCACAGTTCGATTCCCAGTCAGGGACCATGCCCGGGTTATGGGCTCGATCCCAATGCAGGGCGTGCAGGAGGCAGCCAGTTGATGATTCTCTCTCATCATTGATGTGTCTGTCTGTCTGTCTGTCTGTCTCTCTCTCTCCCCCTCTCTCAAATCAATAAAATTATACATATATTTAAGAAGTGGCCCTGGTTTCTCTTGCTCCCTCTCCCTCAGACATTTATTGGACGTTTTCGCCGCATCATGGACTCCTCCCAGAATGCGTACAATGAAGATACTTCGGCACTGGTCGCCCGGCTGGACGAGATGGAGAGGGGCTTATTCCAAATGGGGCAGAGAGGCCTGAACGACTTTCAGTGCTGGGAGAAGGGGCAGGCTTCTCAGATCACAGCGTCCAGCCTGGTTCAGAACTACAAGAAGAGAAAGTTCACCCACACGGAAAACTGAAGGTCACGGACACAGCATCGCCCCTCGTAGACTCATCCCTGTGTGGCCTTGTGAAGAGCCTGGTCGGCCCTGGAAAGGGCCAGCCTTGACGTGGCCTGTTCCCTGCAGCGGTCTCGGGAACGGTGTCATCTGGTCGGGATAGGACGTGCTGGAGGGTGTCCCTGGCCCCGGAAGTCTTCCAGGACTGTCCCACCCTGCCGACCCCCGC